AGACAGACAGAATGTGAGCGTGTGAGCCAGGGTAAGCAGAACCTTCCTTTGGTCTGTGCCACTGGCCCACTTCTTAGGATTGTTGTTAAGGCTATAAATCATAGGACTGAGAAAGCTCTAATCAAATGCTAAGCGTATACAAATGCATATACATATCCCCATATTAAATAGCTATCGTTCTATATCCTGGCGCACAAACTACTATGGGTGGAACCCTAGCCATTTGTCCCTAGGCTATTCTGTGACCTCTCAGTGACACAGACTTGACATGCAGCACAACATCTAGCTTCCATGCAAGCTCTGAAACACAAAGATGGATCAGGTGGTACCCCCTTCCTTCATATACAGGGGTGGTCCCATGAAACCATTTTGCCCCGAACCTGATAGAGAAAGAGACACCTACCAGTCTCCGCTTAGGTTTAATGAGAGGTCGATTTTGACCGTTCATTTTGTGGTAGAGCCCGCAGGCGTTACACAGGTAATGCCCAGTACCGTCTCTTCTCCAGAGAGGGGTAGCAGTAGCTCCACAGTTGACACACTCTCTGCCTTCTAAATGGAAACACGAAGAAACCGGATTTCTTTCTTTAAAAACAAATTCACAAAAGCTTTTTGCATTGTCCATTTAGGTAGATTCCAGATATCAAAACAGCACATTATTCAATTTATTTAAAAGGGAAGGAGAAACATGGATCAGCGACACATCATTTACAGTGCATACAATAAAGGTGTAGATCTGGTAGGGACATGTAGTTTCCAAGCATTTATTTTCTTATATTAACAATAATGCTGTCCAACCTAGAACTAGTATTTTTATTTCAGCTGCCACATGAGAGAACAGACTCTGTTCCAAAATGAAGAGTCATAGGCTATTCTTTCCTCCCTCTCCTCTCCAGTATCTAAGAAATAATATTGGAACTGAAACAAGCGTACAGAATTTTTGTTCATTAACGTTTTTTAGTTAGAGAAAAATTCTGTTCCTCTTGCCTGCCCAATCCTTTTCTGCTATAAATGTTGCACCCTTTAAAATAAAGCAGAATTAACTAACTTTGGTTTCTGTGCATTCCATAAACTCTCATACCCAACATCTATTTTATTATGCATTCTCTTTGTTACCGGCTTAAGAATGATCTGGCTCAAAATGCTTAAACGTGGCTGCTTGTTCAACAGGAATCTTTTTTAAAAGGAGAGGGGGTGGGGGCAAGAATATTAACTAAAAATTCATTTGTTTGAGGGCGAGGAAATTCTTTGAGCAGAGCTTATGCAAATCATACAGTATTTAATGCAGAGGAAACACACTTTGGCAGTAACTTGAGCAGGCCATACTGAGTTCAGCTGTGTCTATGTCTCCTTTAATCTATGGAGTGGGTGGTTTTTAAACAGCCCAGGCTGGAGTGAAAAATGAGGGACCTCTGTGAAGCCCAGAGCTCCTAGCTTTTGTCCCTCCTTGAGCAGGAAGCTGCAGGAGTCGCCTTGTCGTGAGTCTTGCTTTTCCTACAAAAACATTAAATGGTCACGAACTCTCCCCAGTTCCATCTACAGGACAGGATCTCCATTACAAAATGTAGGGAAACTTGCATCTAATAAACAGTTGTAGCGTATGGGAAAGGAGGACAGAAGTCGTGGGAGGAAGGCTGAAACCAAATTTCCCAACGATTCCTATTTCAGTTGACAGCAGTTTATAAAAGTAGCAGATTTTTTAAAACAAATATATTATATCTCTGTTGCCTATAGCACAAAATTCCAGAAATTCTCTCCAGAGAGGGTGATTCAAACTGAGAAGTAACAAAATATGCCCTATCTTGCAAGGCTCCTAAAAGTGGTCATGCCTCAGAATTACTAGCCACTTTGAAAAGAGATGCAAGTACATGCAAGTATATATTGTTTTATTTTTCTTTGGTGTCACAACTTCCATCTTTACTGTTTCCTGGTAAAGCCATTAAAATAAAATACAATTAACATAAAAGTATTATAAGTTTGGATTCGTGTGAGTATTTATTACACTGAATGTCTTTCTAAAAAGAAACCAAAGGAGCATCTTTGGCTTGAAGTCTGTATATTTAATGACAAGCAAATAAGTTGCAGGTTTAACAAACACATGAATTAGAGTTAAGTAACACATTATGTTCCTCGAGTTTTATTGGATTCATTTAAACTATTATTTAAAAGGTACCTTGGAAGCCTGCACTAGTATGTAAACTATATTTGAACTCTGCTCTTTGTATGATCTGGAGGAAGTAAAGTTCTGTAGAAGCTTTTAAAAAATGACCTTGTAAATTTCAGCTCTTAACAACTGAGTTCTTTACAAAGTCTGCTGTTTAATGAAGATGAACTTTATTGTAAATTAACAAAAACTTACAATAAAGTTCATCTTTATTAAGCAGTTAACAAATTAAAAAAAAAATCAATAATGAAGATCCCACC